ACTGATTACTAAGTTACTGAAATAATCGCTGACTAATCAAAGGAATATTGGCAGATTAGTCAACTGCTGATATAATCTTTAGTTGCAGACCTAACCTCCACCTCTCTCAGTCTCCCCATAATTCTTGATGGCTGTACACCCATATACAAGGAAATCCCTGTGGTTTCAACCATATTTTATAAAATATATCTCACGAAGCTTGTCCAACAAATTTGAGATGTTTGTTATTTTTGTTTACCACAGGCTACAAGGTTTCTTGGTTTGCACGTTAAAAAGGCAAATATCACGAAGATCCACCAGACATGACTAAAAATGGGAGTTTCTCCCTTTAACGTTTCTTCCACTGTTTCACCATGTAGTCCTTTAACATTTCTCAGCTGATTTCACAATAATCATTTTCCTGTCTGTGCTGAGCTCTTTATCCCTTCGACCATAAACAATATGAATTATTTCTTGCTCACAGTCAGAAGATCTTCCTGTATCACCATTTTGCCAGTTTCCACCACATCTGTTGTTATTGTCTGTGCTCTCTGACTCGGGTTCAACCTGCTGCTTGGACACTTTCCCCACACTACACCTCCCTACACTTATTTAATTCAGTCCTGTGTACCTTGATGAACCACATCCCTACAAGTGCTCATCAGAGATCCGTATCTCAGTATTTTAGCACTCTTCATCTCCCTACAGGCATATTTATCGCTGTTGTAGCTGAATCTGGTTCCACTCACCGAACGACGACCGTCTGGAGACGATTTTATGATCACTTTAAATCCGTCCTCGTGTGTCGTTGTCACGGTTACACTGCGCTCACTGTCCGTTTCCTCCACATTACAGGTTTACTTTCGCTTTTGCTGTTTCGCCTATTTTTCCACCTTATTTCCGCTCTGTCATGAACATCTTCATCTCTCCCGCCATCTACTTCCTTTCATTACACTTCCTGATACATCACTTCTGTCCTCTCTTCTCTCTCTGCTGTGGTTTGATCGAAAATGTGACGTCATTCACGGGTAAAAGCGCAAAGGATTGTGGGTACGAGTGGCAAGCGATACTAGCGCACGGAGGCTTTCACATGAAAACAGTCACACAGCCATAAAAAGAACACAAAGAATGGCAAGAAGCTGTTGTATTATTAACTGTCGCATGACAGCCTCGGGAAGCCGACGGGTAAAGAGATCGTTTTTTATCGGATTACGTCGTTGAAGAGAAATTGTTTAAGCCATGTTTCCGAAGTAGAAAAAAGACAAATAGATTGCGTTTGCCTGTACAGGAGATAAAGGAAAAAATTAACAACAGCTGTGAAATGGAATAGTCCAAATCACCAAAGTAAACTGGACCTGGGCTTGTTGCAGGGATCTGACGTTACTAAACATTTTGTGAGTGTACGCACTAAAACTTAGGACCATATAATAAATAATAAATATGTGGGTGATGAAAGTTGGGCAGCACGCTAACGTCCTTACTCCACTCTGTATGCTCGTATGGGTCTGACCCTTTCAATTCTTTGATTTTTTCCTCGTACTTTTTTTTTTGCCTTTTCGTCAAGTCTGTCTTCATACGGACCTGCCGAGTTCTCCGTTGTTTTGTACATAACTGGTTTTGGGGCCAAATAAAATGCAAGTAGGGATTAAAACCGCAGAATTAATGATTACCGGTGCTGGAAATGCTTGCGCTTGATGCAGTGTTTTGATTTTGTTGCCACTCGTACCCACAATGCAATGTGCAAAAGTCACGTGGTCTGTCAATCTCTATTAAAAAAAAAATCTAGCACGACTGACTGGGCTGAACAGGTAGTTGTTGTTGTTTTTTTTAAAATATAATTTATTTTTTTTGTAATGTGATTTATTCTTCTCAAGTTATTTCTACTTCAGTGCAAATAAAGGACTGTTAGAGTGTGTGCTGTGTGTTTTCTGAAGCATGACAATCCTTTCCAACAACTATTTCCAGCTGTTTGTCACCTCTCTGCACTTTAGTCTTTCTTCCTGTTATGTCTGTGTTTGTCCACCAGGTGTCTCCGTCGGTTCACTTTCTCTGGGTGACACCTTTCCTTCCGTCCCTCTGCTCACTTTATTATTTCCTTTAAGTTCAGTTGTATGTAATCATTTTCTTACATTCAAAGTTAAATTGAATTTAATTGAATTGAAAGAATTTATTGTCATTATACCCAGTATAACGAGATTAAAAACAGCTCCATAAAAGTGTGTATGTACTTAGCAAATTATAAAAAAAATCCATGCAATACTATAACTATACAAATAATATAAATACACGGTTCAGGAGTGACATAGACTGACAGCCAGAGAATGACGGCACAGACAGTTTCAGCACCGACAATATAAGCACAGACATGAGTTCAAGTCTCCCAGGAGCAATGGAATGAGCATAAACAGTAGGGGTAGTTTATGTCTAGAGGAAATGGGATCAGTGGTCAGTGCAGATATTTCACTACATATGTCAGCAGGCTCTCGATGGTGGAGCTGTAGAAGGTCACCAGCAGCTGGGTGTTTAGTTATTCCTTCCTGAGCACCCTTAGGAAGTGTAGCCGCTGCTGGGCCTTCTTGACTAGTGCCGTGGTGTTGACTGACCAGCAGAGGTCTGCGGAGATGTGGACGCAGAGACATTTGATGGACTCCACTCGGTCTACACATTCACTGCAGGGGGACAGTGCTGTTCTGCCTGAAGTCGAGGTGATGTTAAGTCTAAGGTTGTTTAATGCACACCATTCCCCCAGTTTCATGGCCTCATCTCTGTAGGCCGCCTAATTTTCCCCCTGTAATCAGCCTCACCACTGTTGTGTCATCGGCAATTTGACTATGATGTTCTCTGGGTGGGCGGGGCTGCAGTCAGATGTGTAGAGGGAGTAGATCAGTGGGCTTAGTACACAGCCCTGGGGAGAGCTGGTGCTGAGAGCGTGAGAGAAGAGTAGTAGGGGCCTAGTTCACCCTCTGGGGTCTGTTGACCAGAAGATCCCTTATCCAAGAGCAAGTGGATGGCGGGAGCCGCAGGTTGGCTAACTTGATGATTAAAATGTCCAGTATTATTGTGTTAAAGGGTGAGTTGAAGTCAACAAAGAGCATTCTGACATAGCTCCCCTGTTTCTCCAGGTGACTCAGTGCTGCATGAGAGCAAAGGCTATGGCGTCTTTGGTGGATCAGCTCAGCCTGAGCTTCCTGCTAATAAAAACTAAGTGCAAAAGCACCAAAGAGGAAAAGTGCTTCACTTATTCATTAAAACATGGTCGAAGTCTTAATGAAGCATCAATAATTTCAGGAATTCTTATATTTTTATAACTGTATTTCTTTTTAATACAGTTTATTTTACAAAATCAGAATTAAGTCACTTACAGCATGTAATGCAACTCCATCCATTCATTTGACTGAATGAGTGGCTGCTGAAGTATAGAGACCTGTATCATTTAGTTTTATATTTAGATATATAAATGATCAAGTCATCAAAAGTTTAATTTAAAAAATGACATTAAATCACATTACTCTAGATATAATAATGTTTATTAGTATGAACATTAAATAATAGTTTAAATTTTTTTCATTATATTTTCAAAATGGTCAAGGAATCAAAATTGTGTTTTAAAAGTTCAAACTTCAAAGACTGTAAATTTATGATAGAGAAAATCAATATTTAATATTGTTCAGATTTCTGAGACAGGAACCAGTTTTTCCTTCATGTAAGTACAGTTTGAATCAGTGCAATATTATTTTCACACATCAATGGACCACTGAACTTCTCAGCTTTTAAAATGTAAAGCCTCATTTAGAAACTACACATGATTTGGAAAACTACTGAATGAGTCAAGTTGTATGTAGTGCTTTGTGTTATCAAGTAGAGCAGAAAAGTGTTCTATAACAGCCAAACTATTTGCATATAAATGTCAGAGAACGAGTCTATTTGACTTTAATCAGCTCTGCAGTGGCTCCATAATCTAAAAGCCAAAGTCCAGCATAGAGCGGGCTGAGTGAATGTGGTCTGGACTCTGTGGAGGAGAGTCATGGTTTCAGAGACGCTGTAGAAAGACAGAATACCTGCTCTGTGATCCAGGTACACTCCTACTCTGGAGGACCGAGGACCTGAGAGGACAGTTTGGACATTGTTCTGCCAGAATTTAAAACTGGTTGTGTCACAACGCAATGCCCAAGATTTGTTATTATATCCAAACAGACTTTCATATAGGCTCCCTGCTCTGGAGATATTGTTGTATGCAACTGCTACTTCAACTGCTCTCCCTCTTCACTCCACCTCCCAGTAACAACGTCCAGTCAGACTCTCTCTACTCAGGACCTGACATATTTTACTGAATCTGTCTGGATGATCAGAATAAGACTGTTGTTGTTCCATTCTTGTTACTTTTCTGTTCCCCTCAGATAATAACAGATGTGTGTTTGCTGTGTTTGGATCCAGTTTGATTTCACATGAATATTTTAAGAATCCAGCTCTGGTCTTTGGCTCAGGTGGTGACAGTAAAACATCCACTTCAGTGACTGTCAGTGAGATGTTTGTCCATTCCTTTCTCAGAATGTCCTGTAGTTTATCTCTGGTCTCTGACACAGCTGCTGTCACATCCTCAAAGTAGCTCAGAGGACGAATATTGATGCTGGATGAGTGTGTAGACTCACGTGTAGACTTTTTTCAACAAAGTAACTGTATTCTCAATATCATCTTTTTAAACAGTAACTGTAACAGAATACAGTTACTCATATTCTGTATTTTAAATACGTGACGGTGTTACATGTATTCCGTTACTCCCCAACACTGTCAAAAAGTCCACTGCTTTCTCACCTAAGCATCTCCATTCCTCCACAGATGTGTCATGCCAAAAAGACAAAGCAGAACCCTCTGTCATGCTGCTTACACAGAGATTATATTAGAGATTACACCTCAGGAAAAAAAACAAACACTCAAAAGATTTTGAATAAAATCTTTATTTGAACCATAATTCAATTCGATTTTGATTTATAGAGCGCCAAAATAACAACAACAATCACAACTGCAAGGTAGACCCTGCAATAATACTTTAAGAACACATAATAAATAAAATAACTAAACAATGAACCAACAGGCCACGAGCATGCAGAATGTTAACTTTCATGAAATGTAAGACCAGAGTTTGCCTGATACAATTATAGGAATGAGGGAAAAAGGCCTAATAAACAATGGTGAGAGTTCTTCACTATTCTGCACAGAAAATACTGACTTTAAAATGGATCATCTTTTCATTCAAGCATTGCAGCGATTAATTTCTGCTCAGTGTGAGCTCACACACAGCTGTCCCACATTTTGAAAGTCTGAAAGTTTAACGTGTGTGAATTCTCATGTGCTTCTTTAAGCTGGTCCTCTGAATGAATATTTTCCCACAAATGTTGCAACCATGCGGTTTGTCACCTGTGTGAATTCGTACATGACGGGCCATATCCGATTTCTGACTGAATCTTTTCCCACATGTGCTACAAGGATACGGTTTCTCGCCTGTGTGAAATCTCATGTGTTTTATCACTCCCGAGATGTCAGAAAATCTTTTTCCACAGATACTACAACAACGTGGCTTCTCACCTGTGTGAATTCTTATATGTGTTCTCAATGATGATTTCTCAGTAAACTGTTTTCCACAAGTACTACAGGAATACGGCTTCTCACCGGTGTGAACTCTTATATGAGTTTTCAATGTTGAGTTCAGACGGAATTCTCTCCCACAAGTGCCACATGAATACGGCTTCTCGCCTGTGTGTGTGCTTACATGACGTTCCAAATCTGATTTGTGAATGAATTTTTTCCCACAGGTGATACAAGCATATGGCCTCTCACCAGTGTGAAGTCTTGTGTGGGTTTTCAATGTTGAGTTCAGACTGAAACTCTTCCCACATGTACTGCAAGAATATGGTTTCTCCCCTGTGTGAATTCGCAGATGTGTCGTCAGGTGGTTTTTTTTGCGAAAAGTTTTTCCACAGGTGTCACACTTTAAAGACTTTTTTATTATGTCAGTTTTACTTTGACTCCCTGACACAGCAGTGTTGTCTGCTCTCTTATTGTAACTTCTCTTTCTGTAATGTCTCCTCTCCTTTAGCTCTGCATTTTTAGTAGATATTGAGTCCACATGCTGGCTTTCTTCCTGATCCCGGCTCTCTTCTTCAGGTGAGCTGTGAAAAAGGAGTTGCTTACTGTTTGGTTCTGGTTCCCTGTGGTCACTTTCCTCATAAGTCGGAGTCACCATGAATGAAGTATCAGCCTCCTGCTTCAGTCCAAGCTGCTCTCCCTCCTGCCTGCTGCACACTTCCTCCTGTTCCTCTTTAATCTGTGGAAGCTCTGGGTCCTCCCGGCCCAGACTGTAGTTCCTCTCCTGATTAAAGACCTGCTGGGTTGTGAGAACCTCCTCGTCCTTAAAGACATGCTGCTGGTGGAGGTCTGGAGAGACAAATGAATAAAAGAAAAGACAACATATGTGAAATATAAATTACCGTCAATGTAGACAGCAACAGATATAGGATTTTTGAGGATTTATCACAGTTAATTGTTGTATTATCAGACACAGACTGGATGTAATTTCCAACTTGACCTCATTCAGCTGCAGACTGATATCAGACTGACTCAGACTTATGGCACTATTTACGGGAGGTTTTAGTGACAGTGTTGGTGTGCTCATTTTGCAGAACAAAATTCAGTTAGCGTTGACTTATTGAATAAAACAAGCTGACAAAATTTAACTCCAAGGGCCATAATTTGCAGCTGAAAAAAGATGACAAATCACAATATACTCAGTATACTCAGTATATTGCAAAATGCTAAATATCACTATATCAAATCATGAGTGTCGTATTGTGATAGTATCATATTTTGGGGTGTCTGGTGATTCCCACCTCCCACCATTTTTTACTCTGAAAAACGTTGGATGTTAATTTGATGTCTTCATTGACAGGAGACCAAAGCCACTTAGAAATTTGATTATTTGCCTCTGTTTCATTAGTCAATAATCTTAGCAATTGCTAGTAAATAACAGTTAGCTCATGTGGTCCATGAGGTCAGCAGTGCTTTACTCACACTATACAGACTGCAGGTAGAGCTTCCGCCACTGCCCGGGCCACTTTCTGCTTGGCCTATCGGTACCTATCAACTGCTTCCGAAGTCCCACAGGCTAACAATGCCCGACAGGACTCCTTCTTTAGCTTGGTGGCTCCCTTCACCTCTGGTGTCCACCATTTGGTTCGGGGGTTACCACAACAACACACACCTTGTGCCTTGTGGCCACAGCTCAGTGCAGTGGCTTCTGCAATGGATGTACTGCACATGATCCATTTGGACTCAATGTCCCCAGTCTCCCTCAGAATGCTGTTGAAGCTCTGCTGGACGTGTGCATTGAAGATCTCGCGGACCAGGGCCTCTATCAGGAATTCCCAGCGCACCCTCACTATACGTTTAGGTGTGCCAAGTTTGTCCAACATCCCCCGCCACCTGATCCAACTGACCACCAGGTGGTGATCAGTTGACAACTCAGCCCCTCTCTTCTTGTCTCCAGAACATATGACCTTAGGTCTGGTTATACGATAATAAAATTGATTATCGACCTGTGGCCTAAGGTGTCCTGGTGCCACGTACCTTTATAGACACCCTTATTCTTGAACATGGTGTTCATTATGGACAAACTGTGGCTTCCTCCAAAGGGTGGCTTGCTTCTCCCTTAGAGATAAGATGAGGAGTTTGGCCATCCGGGAGGAGCTCAGAGTAGAGCCGCAGCTCCAACGAGCCAGTTGAGGTGGTTCAGGCATCTGACAGGGATGCTTCCTGGGCTCCTCCTGGGTGAGGTGCTCTGGGCATATCCCACAGGAGGAGGTCTCGGGACAGACCCAGGGCACACTGGGGGGATTATATCTCGCGGCTGGCCTAGAAACACCTTGGTGTTCCCCTGGACAAGCTAGAGGAAGTGGCTGGGGAGAGAGAGGTCTGGGCTTCTCTGCTTAGACTGCTGCCTCATTGATCCGGCCCCGGATGAGCGGAAGAAGATGAATGGATGTAGAAAAAGATGCATTCATGCTGCTTATTGCAGTTTGACCTTTAATTCCTGTGCTTCTAAAACTAAATGTAACTTTGAGCTCTGGTTAGGATCCTACATTACTCATATTCATTGTTATTAAGTCCATCACAGTTTTACATACCTACTCTTTGCAACTTTATCACAGGTTTCCAGATGGTCTTTAGCAGTCTGAGTCGCTCTTCCCCAGTCCAGACGATAATGCCTTCAGCCTCCTGCTTCAGTCCAAGCTGATCTCCCTCCTGACTGCTGCAGAGCTCCTCCTGTTCCTCTTTAATCTGTGGAGGCTCTGGGTCCTCCTGGTCCAGACTGGAGTTCTTCTCTTGGTTAAAGACCTGCTGCCCATCCAGACCCTCCTCTTCCTCATGTTGGAGGTCTTGAGGAACAAAGAACCACAAAAGGGTTATTAATCTTATAATATAAAAACACACAAAAACTGTTTACCATGGGTCCTACAAGGATAGAGTTTCTCACCTGTGTGAACTCTCTGGTGTTTAGTAAAGTTATATTTTTCGTGAAAAGTTTTTCCACAGACGTCACATTGAAAAGACTTTCCCCTTGTGCCAGTTTGACTCAGACTCATTGACACAGCAGTGTTGTCTACTCTCTTATTGCAACTTCTCTTTCTGTAACGTCTCCTGTTCTTCAGCTCTACATTTCTAGTTGATCCTGAGTCCACATGTTGGCTTTCTTCACTTTCCTCATAAGCAGGCGTCACCATGAAAGTATCAGTCTCCTGTTTCAGTCCAAGCTGCTCTCCCTCCTGAATGCTGCAGAGCTCCTCCTGTTCCTCTTTAATCTGTGGAGGCTCTGGGTCCTCCTGGTCCACACTGGAGTTCATCTCCTGCTGCTCATCCAGACCATCCTCCTCCTCACAGTCATTTTGTTGTGGAGGTCTTGAGGAACAAATAAAAAGAAGGAAATGATCATTACTGTGATTACACAAAACTATTTTTACAAAAGCATGTGTTAAAACCTGAAAATAGTTTTAGGTATTGGAGAGACGGCAACCACAGACTGCAATATGAGTGGTGTGCAGTGAGGTGTTGATCGTGTCAAATAAGGTGCTCCCTGGTGGCACACTCAGGTGCCATGAGATACTGCAGTAGTTTGGGGTATAATTTAAATGTATCAATGATGCAGAAATTTTCAGGTATTGATGATGCAGAAAATACATGAATATATTTTTCCATATTTGAAAAAGTCAAGTTCAAAGTTTCAGATCTTAAATGTGCAATTCTCAAAAACAAGCAGCAACAACAAACCTGATCAGACACTTAAACATGGAAAAAAAAAATGCTAACAAAAGAAAAGTGGCTAAAGCTAAAGTTTCCAGAACTCAGAGCCAACCATAAGCTAGCAGCCTCAGGGTAAGCAAAGCCTCAAAACAGTTAGGAGTGAAATTATAGAAACAAGGGGAAAAGAGAAAAGGCTGGATGTTGGATTTATACTGGTAATGACACCAGCATGTACCTGACATTTGTTTGTTCTGTAAATGTGCTACACCTACTTTTGTTTGCTAAGGAAGAATATGTCAGGTAAAGGTGGGTATACAGAAACTCATTTTCAGTTCATTATTTGTAACCTTTTCCAAAATTACAATTGTGGACTTTAATAATTTTGTGATGAAAACATGTTTTGTATTGAAGAAAAGTTTACTTTTGTTTGTAAATGCTGTCAATCAAAGCTCTTAGAAAGAAATTCAAACTTAGCAAAAATCTGAAAACTTGGAAATCAGAATGGGCCACAAGTTATAGACTATGTAGGCTGTAGAAACACAGACACACAGAAGACATTACAAAATTTAACCAAACCTATTATTAGACAACACTACAGTAATGAAAGCAGTATTATTGTGATTATGTACACAGCGTTGTATCTTTGCAGTTTTAAATTTTTTTGCATTTTGCTTTTTTTTTTTTGTCATTTATCTTTTAGCTGAACCACTTCATTCAAGACTTAAAACTCTTTCTAAGGATTTTTCTGAAATGTCAGTGAAGAAAATGAATGGAAAATTATTTTCTTCACTTAAAGTGAGTCATTAAAAAGACTCACTGCCATTGTTGCTTTTGTCAGCTTATGTTAAGAAAGCCTTTCTATTGAAACTATCATTTGCATTATTAAACAAATATACAAGTTGTGTTGGGGCTCACTTGAATGGCACTCAGATATTTTTTTGTTTTTCTTAAACAGATTGTACTTACTGAAATTCACACATTCACAATACAATGGATGCATCAGGGAAGCCCAGGATTCAGCACCATATCCAAGGATACCACATGCAGACTAGGGGAGCCGGGAATTAAACCACAAACCTTCCAGCTATGAGACAACAAGCTCTACAAGTGAAACCACAGTGGAAACAGAATATTCACTGCTTACTGCATTTCAGCTTATGTTACATGTGCACAACAACAAAACAAGCAAGAGTTACCTGCCTTCTTCAAATGGCCTATTAGTGACAAGGTAGCTGCTTCAACAACCCCCAAGACAGCAAAATATCATGTGTTTCATTTGCATCATATGCTTTCTGATATGGCACAGTGTAATTCCTGACCATCTTTAATGCTCTCAAAGCAAACAGTGCAGTAGAGCTCTTTCTCTATCTCAGCATGTAGTCATCACCTCTCACCTTTACCCAGCTTCAGCAGCTCTTTCCCAGTTCTATGGTACTGATCATCAGTTTATCCCTCTGTAGTACTTACTCCTTACTATTCCTGCACTTCCTGATTCACTAGCTGTGCCCCATCTGTTCTTCCTCTGACATTCTCTGCATTCATCAGCTCCTCATTCTTTTAATATTCTCATCACACTCTTTACTTATTTGTATTTCCATCTCTATCCTGACCCACCCTATCTTGTTGCACACCACTTCCAGCTCGATCACTCTGTTTAACCAGTCAATAAAACTCATTTTCTCTGCTAGCTTTTGCTGCAGATGTAAAGACATTAATTACAGCATTATTTGTAATGTGGAGAGCTTGTGTTCTGATGCTTTGGAAAGTCTGTCACTGTGTGTGTTCACTTTGAGGCTCTCATGGAGAATAAAGGGAATAAACAGTTGGTGTGTAAGAGTGTGTGTGCTCTTCCTCAACTATCACCGTTGGCTCCTCTGAATTCATCACCAAAGTGACAGCTTCCTGCTCTCAGCTAACATCAGCTTAGAGAAATCCTGGAGATGCTGATAATCTTTCAGATTTATCACCAATCAACCAAACATCAAAGAATCGGAGCTTAAAGAGAACAGAGTTAAAAACATGTCCATACCTATGATGTGTGAGTTTCTGTCGGGTTTCCGGTTGCTCTCCTCCTCATACTGGACCATCCTCTTCTTGATGCTCTGATCGGTACCTGCGTGATTTGTCGGTCCGTTGGTCCTGATTCATCACACATCAGCCATGTTTCTGGAGCCAACACTTCGCTCCTCCCCATAGTCCCCTGCTCTGCTGTGATTCGCTGTCGTGTGGTCACGTGACTCAGCAAACGCACGCAGATTCGTTGAGTCGAAGAGTTGTGTCATCTCCGGTTACACGACTGCACCTGCGTTTATTTATTTATTTTTCATGGATCCTCTTCTTTCTACAAATGAAGCCAAGTATTTTTCTCCTCCCGGTGTCAGTGGGATAACCGTACATGTACACTTATTCTAAATTTGTCTCACATTCCTACATGTATCCTAGATTATTTTATACAGTCCAATGATGTACACTTACTGATGTCTGAATGACAGTAAAGTGGCTATTCTATTCTATTCTATTCTATATAAATCTACATCGATCACGTGTTTATATGTGATTATACATATAAACACAATTTTATACTCCAATGTGGTAAACCTGGAGTATAAATTTGTCACTTGAATTTGCGGTGTGGTGAGGAATATTTTGAAATGAAGATAATTCATGTTGAAATATAACAATAAATGTTAAGGTCTAACTGATATAATGTGGCTGAATGATGAATAGTCCCAAAGAGCTACTGTCTGTATATTTGTATGGTGCAAGACCACATTCTGCAGAGAGAGATAACAGGCTATCAATGGCAGAGTTCAAACAGCAAAAGAGGACAAATTACAGCAGACAACAGGCTTATATGATTTTTTTCTGCGTTATCAATTGGATGGAGAAGCTGGTTGATGCTGGGTAATCTTACTAATTTTACTTTCAAACTGATATCTTCATATTTCTCCTTCAGTGCAAATAAAGGAGTGTTAGAGTGTGTGCTGTTTTTTTTTCTTTCTTGAAGTTCGACAATCCTTTCTAACAAGTATTTCCAGCTGTTTGTCTCCGCACGTTCTGACTGTATGTGTCCACCAGGTGTCTCCCTTGGCTCGTTTAATCAATGAGCTTAATTTGTCTTCACATATGAAGTCAAATGAAGCTCACTGAGCTCAACATGAATTTCTAACAGAAACAACAGAAACAAAAGTGAGTGCAAAGGCAACCAAAATATTTGGAGCATGCTGTGAGGAGTGAGTGGTCAAAATTCAGGAATTCCTTTTTACCATCGAGTTTTACTGTGCTGATGTTAAAACATGTTGTTAGGTTTTAATAAGACTCACGTGGCTCTAGATTTGAACTTGGACTGGTTGTATTGTGTCTGGTCAGTTTAAGTCTATTAGTGAGTCATTTAAAAATGTCGTCATGTAAATCTTAAATGGTCTACATGGAGGTAGTGGAGGGCACAAACTAGTGACATAGATGACTGTTTACAGCCATTCAAACATGTTATGATCATAAACTGATTTTTTTCTTCTTCAAAAAAAGCTTTACAGGACCAATAAACACCTGGAACATCAGTTTCCTGGTGAACTTTCAACCCAGAAGTAGTAACATTAACAAGCTAAAATGCATTTTACTCATTCATTTTTAGTTTGCTGTGTAAAAAACAAAACAAAGATAAATTATAAACTGTGTATTGAAAATGGCTTGCTTGGCTTCTTAACGATATTGACTCATACCAGGACCATGTTTCCCCTTTGAATGTCTTCACAGTCTATTTCTAATCCTTTATTCATAAATGTAAGTAGCCCTCTGCGAATTTCTACCTTACCGTGGTGGAGGGGTTTGTATTTCCAGCTGCTAGGATCCCCAAGGATCAAAAATGCTTCACATGAGAGGCAAATTAATAATGATAGAAACACTGCATAACACAGCCTGTGATTACTGTTGTGATTTTTTTGACATTTACTGTGGAATTATTTAGAAACTGTTACATCTTTCTTTCATATGCACATGTAGAAAAAACAACTACTAAATTTAACTTTAGATACAGAAGAAGACTGTATAGTAATTAGGAATATTGGAAGTCAGGAGAAGTGAATTCAAGGCTAATAATAGCTTTCAGCTATATTGAGTAAGTAATCTCTGGTACAGTCCCAGTAAACAGAGGAGAGCAGCTGCCTGTAACATCCTGTGGTATATCCTCTGTTACAATGGAATTTCACAGGTATGCTGCCATTAGACAAAGTACAGTAAAGTACAGTACTAGCTATGATAATATCTTTGTGTATACATGGTATCATTGGTAGGTAAGTTAAAGCCACATTTCAGAGATTCCAGGTGTACAGCTATAATGTAGTTGTACTGGTTTCTTTCGTTATTTGTATTGGCAGTAGATTCAGTTCCTTTGTAGTCCAAACTAAAACTTTTAATTTAACTGCTTCTTGATTGGAATAATAAAATATATCCTCATTTATAATAATCACATCTGTCTAAATTACAATATAGATTTTGTAGAACATAAATTAAGTCTTTCTATTAATAATATGCAAATAAATAGTAGAGTAATCCCATTCTACTTTACATACTCTAGGAACCAAAAGTAAGCCCACAGTCTGAGAGTGAACTAATAATAATAATAATAATAATAATAATAATAATAATAATAATAACTGTATTTATAAAGCGCTTTCAAACAAAGTGCTGTACAACTAAAGGGATAAATAAAATAAAAGCGATACAGCAATACAGGTAAGAGACACAATACAAGTTAAAAACAATGAAAATGTAAAAACTAAAAGCCATAAGACATGTAGGATAAGGTGAACAAATGTGTCTTCAGCTTAGTTTTAAAAACCTCCACAGAGCATGCCTGCCGAATATCTTGAGGGAGGTTGTTCCACAGAAACGGGGCACGAAAAGAAGAAGCACGCTCTCCAACTGTCTTTTTTCTGGCTCTAGGAACCTTTAGAGAGCCAGAGTCCTGAGATTGTAGAGCACGAGATGGAACATAAAGGTGTAAAAGGTCGGAGAGGTATGAAGGTGCCAATCCATTTAAAACCTTGTAGGTGAGCAGCAGGACCTTAAAATTTGCTCGAACCTGACAACGTAGCCAATGCAGAGATCTCAGAACAGGGATAATGTGCTCACATTTCCCAGTTCTTGTTAAAATGCGAGCAGCTGCATTTTGCACCATCTGTCAGGATAATATAGAATTGAATTGTGAGATCTTTAAAATATGATAGGGTGTCATGGCCCTGGATCAGTCACCCAGCGTTTATGTTTTGGACTGTTCTGTTTGGGGTGTAATAGGCTGAGTTACTTCTTTGGGTAATGTATGTTTGGTTTTCTTGTACTTCTGTGTTCTTTTGATCATTTATTTTCTGTTAGGTTGCAGCTCTTAGGTTCTTACTTGTTCTTTTGACATGTTTAGAGTTTGTTTTCCTTCAGCTCATGGTGATTATATTCTCCGTCTCCAGTGTCTAATCTTGTCCTGTGTTTCGTCAATCTTGTCTCTGTTTTCATTCCCCAGTCAAAGTGTTAAGCTTGCGTGTCTTGTCTGTGTCTACATATTTCTCATTCTTTTTGTTTTATTTTGATAGTCCTTGTCCTGTGTTCACTATATTTAGTTTTGCTTCCCCTCTGTCTCGCTATGTCAGATCAGGTGCAGCTCTATCTCAGTCTTGTTGCGTATTCCCTTGTTACCCCCAATGTGTATGTTGTGTGAGTTTTCCTTTGTTTGTGGTTGTGTTGTCTGTTTGGCCAGTGTCAGGTTCAGGTATTTCATGTTTAATTTTTCCTGGTGTCCATGTCTGGGTTTCAGGTTTCATGCCTTGGGGTCTCATGTCATCACACTTTCAAATTTCACGTATTCAGGTTTTAGTTGTTTTTCCAGTTTAGGTTTTGTTTGGTTAGACTTTGTTTTGCTTTCGCTTTTTCCTTTGCATGGTTCAGACATCAATAAAGGATCAATTTTAATTTAGTTTCAGTCTCTGGTGTCTGCATTTGTGTCCACTCTACACTCCACATGGTCTGCCAGCTCAGATCCTGACATAGGGTCAATATTTTGTATGTCAGGAGAAGGATTTTAAATCAAAGTCTGGATTCAACAGGGAGCAAATAAAAAGAAACAAATATGTCTTCATTAGTTTGAAAGATGTGTCCGCCTCCTCCGAGAGCCAAAGCAAGATATGTATCATTTAGAATTAAATAAACCAATTTTAATCCAATTTTAAACTTCAACATATTTTAGTAATTTAGTTTAACATGTTTTAGCTTTTGTTTTATTTTATACAGTTTAATAGTACATCAGATGAGTCATTCATAGCTGCAGATGCTTTCCCTGAAAAATGGTGTTCACGACAAACATTGTCTTCCACAACATGTTGGATTAGATAATGCAGTTATTATTATTTTTCTGTAAAAATAATAACAACAAAAATTAACAACACTCTATAATCAAAATCAATTACTGCATTCAATCAAGAAACAAGGACACATCTATTATAATCTCGGGGTTGAAGGACTCCAATATCTTATTAACATTTTAAGAGTTACAATACAAACACCAAAGATATCAACTTTTTGTAATATGACAAGAAAAATCATTGTAGCATCATAGTTCAGAAATGTCACAAATCACATTTTAATCATCAGGAAAATCCACTACAGCGAGTAGACAAGAAAAGCCAGTGAGCAGATTAATCAGACATTTAAAATATCTACAATGTGAAGAGAATTTTAATTTAAACTAATCAACTTTGCAGTGTCGCCATAATCCAAAAGCCAAAGTCCAGCATAGAGCGGCTGAGTGAATGTGGTCTGGACTCTGTGGAGGAGAGTCATGGTTTCAGAGACTCTGTAGAAAGACAGAATACCTGCTCTGTGATCCAGGTACACTCCTACTCTGGAGGACCGAGGACCTGAGAGGACAGTTTGGACTTTGTTGTAAAAAAAAGGTGGAACTGTCTGCATCACAGCGTAATGCCCAGGATATGTCATTGAATCCAAATTTTCTTTCGCGTGAGCTCCCTGCTCTGCTGATATTCTTGTATGCGACTGCTACTAAAAGTAATCTCCCTCTCCACTCCACCTCCCAGTAACAATGTCCAGTCAGACTCTCTCTACTCAGGATCTGAAACCACTCAGTGAATCTGTCTGGATGATCAGAATAAGACTGTTGTTCCATAAATGTTACTTTTCTGTTCCCCT